CAATTACAATTAACAGTAGCTTTGTACTCATTGTTTGAGCATGAATATCATAAGAGATTATGTCTATGAGAATGACTTGTAAGATGCTAAGCAAATGTCTGTTTTTAAACTTTGACTCCCCCAGCAAATTGTCTTACATTCTATTTAAGTTGATTTGATGTTAGAAACACAGGTTTACTCAAATTATCTCAAATTTGTAATTATGATTTCAAGATAGGTGTCACCACTGATAACTAATATTTTCCTCTGCTTTCAGGCACAGGAAATGACTACATTTCCTCAAGTTGGGAGTGGACATATGATTTCTTTGGTCAATGAAATGGAGAAGAAATAATGTGTTTCATTCTCAGGCAAAAGCACTTAAGAGCCTGTGCTCATACATTTTTCTTCTTTTTTGGTGACCATGGGGGCACACATTAATGTGAAACATGATGCCACTAAAGCAAATTGGATTTTGAATAAACACATAGAAGACAGCTGCTTGGGAAGATAGTGACTTTTGAACAAACAACAAACAAAACTTTTGGTATATTAGGTACTGAGATTTTGGCACTGTTTATTGCTAAAGCATAGTAACATAACCTACCCTATCCTCACATTTAAAAAATTCACAATCTGAATGAAAAAATCCATTGGAATTGCTGATACTTTAAATTAGGAAGTTAGGCTGTTGAGTTGGGATATTTCTTTCATTTTAATTGTTTGTAGCTTCAACTTTCCTCCTTAGCGCTGCTTGTACTATATCCCATAAGCTTTGGTATGTTATGGCTTTGTTTTCATTCATTTCTAGATATTTGAAGTCATTGAGAAAATCTCTGTAAACTGAATAGGGATTCTGAGATACTGTGCATGTGACTTTATAGATAGTAGGCTCTTGGCTGCTGTTCAGGGCATGGAGGGTCCATGATGTCTGAACTATAGCAGCTCCCTGAATGGTCAGAATGTGAAAGTTACTTACCAAAAAGTAAACCCAGCTTGTCCATTACATTAATTCCCTATGCTCTGGTTGGAATGTTCTCATCCTAGATCCACCCCATCTCTCTTCCTCAGTCTTTCATATGATAACAAGTACATACATTGTTGTTTCTAGTTTTTTTTTTTTTGGCAATTTTATCTTCTTTTTGGTTATAAAAGTCACTTGTTTTGTAGAAGAGTTTTAAATACAAAAATATATAGAAGAAATCTAGTCACACTTTGGGAGATTGAAGTTGACAATAAATTCTTTGACATATCTTTCCTTGAGAGGTGGGATTTATATCCCCTTACATGAATGTGGATGAGCTCTGTTGGCCAATAGAATATTGAGGTAATGATCCTGAGAAAGGGTTTAGGAGACTAGAAACTTTCAATTCTTGAGAATTGTCTCATCCGGGGAACATTTACTCTTGAAGTATAACCCCACTGCCATGAGAAGCCCAATTCTCATAAAGAAGCCAAGTAGGGGCTACAGTTGAGAGCCCTAAACAAGCTCCCTGTCTGCAGCCAGAACCAACTGTAGCCAAATGTGTGATCCACTAGAAAATCCAGGCCAACTGCCCATTGCAATGACTTTAGTCCGCCATGACTCTACTGTAAACATGTGAGATTCCTAGTGAGAAGTGCCGAGTCCAAGTGATCCACAGGACCACCGACAATGATTTAAGTTGCCATTTTTTTTAAAGATTTATTTATTTGTACATACAGAACTGGGGTACAGGCCAGAGGCTCAGGGGCGGTGAGAGGCTTCACCAGAGGCAGAGTGGGGAGCAGAACAGGCAGATCGACGAAGTACACTGCTGAGGGGAGCAGCGGGCGGGTCAGGAGAGGTCTGCCTCACCATGTGTTCTCCTCCGGGGCAGGCGGGAATTGAACTCATGCGGAAGCAGCTTTATATTCTCAGTGCAGTGCTTTAACCCGCTGCGCCACCAGGGAGGTCCCTAAGTTGCCATTTTAAGGAGTGGATGTGACATGACAATTGACCAGAATACACCCAGAACCCACCATCTGGAGATAATCTCTATTGATAGTTTGTTTTTCCTACACACACATTTTTTAAACAGGAAATTTTAAAACAAAATGCACCTAATTTTTTTTTCCATTTCAATATTTTTAATTTAATTTTATTTTATTTTATTTATTTTTATTTTTTTTAAAGTTTATTTTTACATCATTTTGCACATTTTTTTTCATCTCCATTGTAATCCCCACGGGTTTCCCATCACCAAATCACCCCTGTGCCACCACCATAGTCCCGTTCATTTCCCTCCCTCCCACCCCCCCGTTTTTGATCCCATTCCCCACTCCACCCCCACAGAATGTCTCTGGTCTATGGTTGTTCATTATTTTTGTTATTTTCTCGCCTGGTCCATTATACTCCTGCTATGAGTGAAACCATCCGGTATTTTTCTTTCTCTTTCTGGCTTATCTCACTAAGCATGCTCTTTTCCAGCTCCATCCAAGTTGCTGCAAAAGACATGTGTTTCTCTTTTTTGGTTGCTGAGTAATATTCCATTGTATATATGTACCACATCTTTCTAATCCAGTCATCTACTTTTGGGCATTTGGGCTGCTTCCATGTTTTTCCAATTGTAAATAAAGCAGCAAAAAATGCACCTAATTTTAATGGATTTTTTTTTTTGGAGACTAAGCATTTATTCCCATCCAGTTATTCAGAAAGTAGAACTAGGGGAAAGAGAAAATGTAATAGAGATAGGGTGAAAAAAATTAATTTGCTTTGGAATCCCATAAGTAGTCACATTCGAGGTTTTGCAGTTGATCAATATATTTCATGGAAGTATTCTCAAGCATCTTTGAAAATGGAATTAAAAGTAACTAAACAGAAAATGTAAGGACATATTATAGAGTAAAACATCATTCAACATTTCTGTTGTTATAGCTTCAAAGCCATTCTACTTGTTGTCTGTTAAAAACAGTATTGCAATGAATGATCTTGTATATACATCTTAAGGGTACCTCTAAGTTATTCCTTATGGTAAAGTCTTGGCAGTGAAAATTTCCAGGAAAAGGACTTAGGCTTTTGTGAAAAAGAGCAAAGAAATAGTTTTTAAAAGCAAAGTACAGTCATGTGTCACTTAATAGGGTTATAGCCAAGGATGGACGATGGATTTTATTTATTTATTTATTTTTAATAATATAAGTTTATTTTTACATCATTTTGTACATTTTTAAAAAAGATTTATTTATTTATTCATATAGAACT